GTCTGATTGAGGTCTCCGGGACACTGTCAGGAAATGGATGTAGGGAAGAAAGCAACAGAAGAATGCCCCATTGGCTGCCTCAAGCCTGGCTTCAGCAATGCTTTGCCTGCATTTTTAGCATTCCTTTGGTACTCCGCAAATAAAAGTGTCCAAGTGACACAAACACACAAAACCATGCTCACACTTAGATTGGAAATTTCTTAGACCCAAAAGCACTCACAATAGCTTTCAACATGGTACTTGACTGGCTTGGCTTGGCTGCAGCATGCTAACGTCTTTGCACACACGTCCTGTGCTTTGCTATTCCTCTTAGAGGGCCATACACCTGGAAACAAACCAGGAAGTACATACAACTTGCACACAAAGGTTGAAAGAGGACAAAACCTGCATGAAAAGCTGCAATGGAACTGATATAGTTTGCAGTATAAACATATGAGAGTGCTCATCTGGTTTTCAAATGGAAAATGCAGATTTGGAATAAAGTCGAGGGCATAGTAGATTGCAAATGAATAACAAAAATGTGCATTTGAACGGCTAGTTAATAAAGTTAGTTAATAGCATGCTGTAGAGCGTGCTGGAACAGCTCTGTTTGTGAGCTCTGACGTCCAACAAGGAGGGGCACCTCATCCCATCCTATCCCACAGGGCAACAATTAGTCCACCACCGTCCCATCCCAACATGCTTCAAAGACTTACTCACATAGAATGAGAGATACTTTGTCAGTCAAAAAAACATCACAGTTTGCTTGGCATCATGCAGTAGATAACCTATGCTATGTGAGTAAGATGTTGATATCGTCTCTTTTGTGTATGAAATGAGAATCATCTTGCTTGTTTTGTTAGTCATGTTGTCGCTGCAGGGGTTTTATTTTTGGATTGAGCACAAAGCTAATGCATTACTGTTAGCATAGCTTCAACCGTACTTTTCCTGTCTAAGCTTGTTGTAAAACTGAAAGAAAAGCCTAGCTGGAGAGAGAGAGAGACTGTTTTTTTATAGCCTTGCAAATACTCTACACATGTTCCCAGTACATTAGAAACAGATACTACCTCGCCTATGGCTTCATGTGAAACCTTGGCATGGGGTTGAGCAAGAGTTTGTTCTCCTGGTTTTCTCATTTCAGAAAGAAGTACACACTATCTTCAGATGCTTTTTATTGAGTAAGGTATATATCGGTAGTATAAAGGTAGTGTAAAGTTGACAGTTATTTGTATACCAGGGATGTAATATAACTAATTTCCCAGGAGTCTCTATTACTTTGGTCTGTGCAGGGTACATGGTATAAGTTGAGAAAGAGAGAACTGCAAATTAAGTTAAAGATAGGAAATAGAAGAAGAAGGAGGTGTTTTAGTTGCTTTCAGAAAACATTAACAGTCGTGAATGTGGTGCAAATCTACTTTTGGAACTTGAGCACTGGGTTAAGCGCCAAGTTAAATATAGTTGCTCATTAGATCTGCTCCGAGCTCAAACCATTTGCTGCTCAGTTGTGAAGACACTGAGCAATTGTTTAACAGTTTTAATGTACATGCATGCATCAAACTATTCAACTCGAAGCCTGTGAAAAGGATTTCTCGCTTTTCATTTTGTTACTCAGTAACTCCAGCACTATTTTTTCCCTTTTGTCTGATTTCACAGCAACGATTGCTTTTACGAAATCACAAATATGAGGGAAGACACTGGGACAGTCGGGTTTATTAATGTCCAAGTAGGCTTTGATTTATTGTTTTGTATTTTCAAAATGCACGACTTCACAAACTTTTATTCCATAATCTGATGGATTTCTTCATTAAAAAAAGGATAATCAGTTGGAAAAAACGAAATCCTGAAACTGTGGCGTAACGTAGGGTAATGGTTTTAAAAAGAAAAGAGGATAGTTGTTTCCGAAGTTGGACATATTTGAATGATTACCTTGATTTCAAAGACGCTTCAATCACTTAGGCCCTCTGCCTTTTTTAGACGCGGTCATAAAACAAAATACAAACGAAAGTAGTGCAGTGCTTTTCACAATGCATGAGCTTCACAGAGGGGGGAAAAAATGCAAAACATGAATCGGATAAGTGCGCAACCATTGATATTTGGCTTTATCTCTGGATTCTTCTTGCAGATTCTCCCGGTCGGACGAGCTGTCACGGCACCGTCGGTCTCACTCTGGAGTTAAGCCCTACCAGTGCCCTGTCTGCGAGAAGAAATTTGCCCGCAGCGATCACCTGTCCAAACATATCAAAGTCCATCGCTTTCCACGAAGCAGCAGGACAGCGCGCACTGCACACTGACCCCACACAGGCCCCCTCCACGGAGAGAGATAGAGATAGAAAGAACGGAGAGAGAGAGAAGGACAGAATCATTTGTGGTACTGTGATAATTTATTACGTGAGGCTTGGATGAACTGAAGAAGAGTTGGTTCTGAAACTGTTACTTGACTTGTCGGCCTCACAGATGTTGTACGCTTCGTAGATTGTATTTTTGTAGTGTTCACGATTGTTTTCTATGTTCCGAGAACAAATGTTTTTGCAACATGTAACATTCAAAGTATTTTGTTTTTGTTGTACTTTTGAGGTATGAATTGTTGATGTATCTGCCAGTCATCAACATTCCTTGCTCAATATCACGATAAAGTCGCTTCTTTTTGCCAACGTAACGCGTTTAGCTCCTCTAAACCAAAAAAAACAACAAAAAAAAACACACACACACACAAAAAAAAAAAAAAACTCGGGTTCATTTGAACTACTGATCATTGGTAGGGCTGTGCCATTATAAGCTATTGGCAAACATGGAGGCTCTTCCTCTTGACTTTCAGTTGTATGCTAGTAAACTGTGAAACGCCTCTTGGAGAGACCATAGAGCGAATCAACGGAAGTCAAAACACGCACATTTGTCGTATGTGAATCGGCCTCGTGATCAGTATTGAAATTTTTCCCCTTATGTTGTCAACACAAAACCTTTCTTCTTTTCATTTTGGTCATTTTATTGGTTGCTTTCATCATAAAAAAAAAAAAAACCTTCCATGCCTTTCTATAATCTAAATGTTTGCAGCTGGGGCCAAGGCATTTGTGGTGAAGCGTTTGCGGTTCGAAAATATTTTTGACAGCGATGCAACACATTTTACATCTGAGAAATCCCATGATCCGAGTCAAGTCAGTTGATGGCTAAGCTAGGTCAAAGCACACGTATCAACCATTTGTAACCTGCCTCAAACAGTCCTTTTGACCTGGGACTACTTCACGATCTGCCAAAATGTCTCCGCGAGACAAGCTTGAATGACAGAAACTGGAATTGCAAGGTGCTAACCGGCTTGGGAAATGTAGTCTGGAACTCATCTGGAGTTCAGAGAGGACATTCTTCATGGGAACTGTAGTCATGGACACAGCTTGACTACTGATAGGGCATGTGTTCGCTAAAGAATGCGTGCGGGATGCTGATAGTTAATGCTAATATTTAACTAAATTATACCGTGTTGTACAGTATAATTCGATTTTTAGCAGAGCTTCGGATCAACCTTGGCAATGCAATCTGTTCTATGCAATCTGTTTTTGCCAAAACAATAGTCTGAATGGAAACAACGAGTGCCTCAGGTGATGAATCAACTTGTTGCACTTTGTACTGCACCGACAGGCACAACAGCCAGCGGTACCTATATGAGTTTGAAGAACCAATCATCTTTTCTGGTTCTCTACTTGTGGTTTAGAGGAACACATCGAAACGATTATGGTATCATTTTGCTGCTCTGCTTATAATATTTAGGGAAATCTGATCTCAGATCCGACATCGCGGCTGAGCGGGAAGAAACTAGAACCACTCAGACCTCTCGCAGACCACAAGATTCCTCTAGGAATGAAGGAAACACATTTGTCTACATACAGTACATGAATGTTTTGCTGCTGTTGGTGCCTGTTTAACACACAAACCAGTGCCAAACGTGTTTTTGTTGCTCTCGGAAAGAGTAAACCGCGCAAAGAGTCCATGATTGCTTCCGTTCAAAAGCCCACGCACTTAAAACACAGAAAAATGACGTCACGAGTAACACAGACACCCAGGCGGAGGCTGCGTACCGTTAGTGATGCATTCCTTGCCGTCTACATGAAAGTCTAGGTGAAATCGGTGCTTATGGCCAACATTGAATGTATGTATACTGTATGTACAGACTTTGTACAAAATGTTGTTGGATCAGAGAGTACCGGATATTCTTTTACTGACGTATCTCATTTCTTTGATTGTATAAATGTCCCCTGTAAAATGTAAACCAATGTACATAATAACAATTCAATATATATATAAATATTATATATTTTTCTTGATATACATCAGATGCATTTACAAATAAATTGAAAATAAGAACTTTTTGTTTTCGAGTTCCTCTGTTTTCTTGACATACTGAAGAATGTGAATGCAAAAAGCGACATGACTGATTTGTTGTGAATGGAAACACAGCTGCACTGCATTGTCTGTTAGTGCAAACTTATTTGAACAACTACATTTTGTGCAATTTGCAGAGAGTATATTTCTGGCTTCTGATATACTATGTTGCCTTAGAATGACTCATGGCCTCATACCAGTGGTGTCTAATTATAGTTGTACCCATTCAAAATACTATGTAAGGGGTCGAGAGAAATCGTGCCTTATAATTCCACTCATTTTGATAAACGAGTTCGAACAGGAGAGTCACAAACGCGCATCCAGAGCAAGGCGAAACTTAAACTATATTTTTTGTTTTAAATGAGCGATCGTTTCGCTTGATAAGACTCTTATTCATCGTCTGAAATCGTTTAAAGCCCCTTGAACAGTTTGTAGTTTGCACTGAAACTGTCTTTTGGACCTTGAACCGTTTGGTTCCCACTGAAGTGCATTATATGCAGAAAATCCTGGAATGTTTTCATCAAAAACCTTAATTTCTTTTCAACTGAAGAAAGAATGACATGCACATCTTGGATGATACGGGGGTGAGTAAATTATCAGCAAAAGTTTTTTTTTAAAGTGATTTTTTGGTGTTTATTTTGTTTACTGGATTTTTGTGTTTATTCCCTTGTAGGGAACGACTGCTCGTACTGTAGTCCGCAAACACAATCAGATTCATTAACATCTAAACAACATCTCAAACAAGAACAACAACCAATAGTACAGGAGTCCAGTGCATGTGTTTAAGCTGAGTCACCCAGGATAAGGACATATTGAGTATGATGCTCATGAAGGGCCCTGATGTTTATGGCTGACAACTCCAATTTATGTTGCTCCCTTCACAAGCCCCCAACCACATGTGGCACTCCTAAAGATGAGAGGGAAGGAGTCGGGAAGAGAGGAATGCAGTGAAGTGATTCTCTTTTTTATGGCCATCTGTTGGACATGCTCACTGGTATGAAGGTGATCCTCAGTAGATATTACTCCAGACATTAGCTAATATGACTGATCTTGGACCTGTTTGACCATAAACGGCAGTCCTGTCAGGATGACTCCAGATTTGGTTCTCGAAAAATTAATTATTATTTTTTTATTGTTTTCTATCATGAGGTCTTAGAGGAGAGTCAGCTGTTTACAGAGTGCTGGCAAATTTAGGTTCATAGTAAGAAATTAACTTTCAGTGGATCGTTTGCAGTAATGAATAATACACTTATTGCATTTAATCCACCTATTCTATTCTATGTCAGCAAGTACTTTTGAGCTTCTTGATTTATTACATTATACTATTCGGGCAACTTATTAAATGAATGTGTTTTATGATTTTATTTTGTTTTTTAAGCTATTAATCAGTCTTCCCGTGGTGGCTTCAACACTCACAGTTGTTTCCTCAGCTCTTCGGGTCTTGCTGTGCTCTGGGAAACGCAATGGTCTCCCAGCCATTTGACAGATTTATTTTTGGAGCATTTGCCGTTGTTGGAAAGAGTAGTAGATCCATCTGTCATGACAACAAGGTAACTTTGGGTCAAGCGCATGACAGGTCACAGAAAATGATGTGGTGAATTATTTTATTAACGATTAAACTGAGTTGCTTACAAATGAGGCATTCATTGAAACCTGAATAAGGATGCATTTTCCATTTGGTAAATTTCTGTAAGATTTCAAACCATTTTAAAAGGGCAACCAGGCGAGATCTAAAGTATACAGATATAAATTTGTTGCCCATTCTTAATGGGAAAGTGCCCAGCAACATTGCTTAAAAAGGTTGCCCCACCTTCAGGCAATGAATGTCTTTAAATATTAATCAGTTGCATTGTGCAATTTATAATAAAATACTAATAAAAATGAATATGAACAGGTGGAACATTTAAAATCAAATTGCTACTCTTCCTGTTATTAATGTTATGGCCTTCTTTAATTGACAACAATATGACATCTGTAAAAAAATATTGTTGGTTTAACTTAAAAAATAGGTAACCTGGTTGCCTTAAAATTTTAAGTTCATTGAAATGGAAAAATTGAGTTAATACAATGAAGGAGACTGATTTAATCATCAGAAACTCAAAATATTATGTTATCTGAACTACATAAATTATCTAAGTTGATCTGACAAAAGAAAAAATGTTGTGATTACAAATCATGAAAAAAAAAATTACAGTGGAAGAAATTATGTATTAAAAATATTAAATATTAACTAAAATAGTAGAAGGAAATAATTGATGTTTTTATTTATTAATATATATCTACACATATATCTGTGTGTGTGTTTGATTTTTTATATGACATATAACATATGACATATATTTTTATTATTTTATATTTTTATAAGATTTTTTATATGACAACTCCATTAACTTTTGAACTGACAGCTCAAATTATGTCACTTTTTTAAAATTATAAAAGTAGTGATAAACCAAAATTCAAAATATAAAACTGATTGATACTGTTTGTTTTAAATTGATTTTAATTTCATAATTTTAATAGCATTTTATTATATAATAATATTAAAATCGTATTAATACACTAAATAATATTTCTATAATATATAATGTAAAAGTTCTGAATAATAATACAATACATTAAAAAGAAAAAATTTATTGTAAAAGAAAAAAAAAGAAAAAAGTATCTACTCCTGCTATTTATTAAAAGTATTCCTTCACATGAACTAATATTTTTATAGTATAGTTACAAGTTTATAATATATCATTCTCCTCCTAAAAAGCAGAGCATTTTTAACTCTCTGTGGAAGCTGACAGCTTTAGTTTGAAAAACAACTCACTGGTGTGCATGTGTGAGATGATTTATGAATATTCCTGCATATTTTGTTCCCTCTGCACAGGATTTCATTATAACTCACAGCTTTGCGGTGAACATTTGTAGGATTCTCAATCGAACCTCTGACCGCAACATTACCATCAGATTCATCCCAAATAATAAAACACAGATTTGAACATTGTTGCAGCATGTGGTGAGTACTCTGAAGGCTCTCTTTCTCTCTGCGATTCAGTTTTCATGTTGTCATATCCAAACTTCATGCGGACGGGATTCTTTTTTGTCTTGCAGGAGGGATCAGAATTTTAGATCCAAGTCCAAAGGAGATAAATGTGTATAAACTCGATCTTTTCATCGAGATCACAGTCTAGAAGGAACAGACTGTTGTTTCTCACCTCTGTTTCCATGCTGAGACGCATTCTTTTCTTCCGGTAATAAAACATAGGCTATCTATTCCTCTAACAGTTAATTCAATGTGAGTCTGAAGAGATGACGGCAAAGCCTGGTTTGCTGCAGTCACTGTGTGCACAAAATGTTTTCTGTTTTCACATGCAAGAAATGAACTTGAATATATCGCTGCACAGCATACCCAGTGAACAGGGAGCATTCTGAGAACTTTCTGTCGAGGTTCTCTCAAAGTTCGGAACAAATACAACGTCTATTCAAAGTGATCTGGTGATTAATAGAGTGCCGAAGTTACGACGTCACTCTGTAAGCCAAAACGTGGAAGTGAGTTAGTGCTAACTCATTTTAGCACTACCGGTCCGGTTCCCTTGCTCTAAAGTCTATGGGATTTTTGAATGGGTTTTTGCTAAATCGCCTGAAATAAGGTCTGTGGTGAAGAAAGCCTCTAAATATTTTCCCGTTTTGATCTATGACATAGAACACAAAGTTATAACCTGCGTGTGTTTTTTTTTAACTTTATTGTGTCTGCTTGTGTTTTTAAAAAAACTTTATAGGCTTCAAAATGTATTGGATTGATTTGGATTGAAGATTATCTTGATAGACGAAACGTGTAAGGGTCACAACTCTTTGTTAAACACAGATCTTTTTTTTGCGATTTTCCAAAAGTCTATGGGGAAAATGCATAGCTTTTCGATCGAGGGAACCCATGCGCCGCTATCTTCCGAGTTGTCCTACAAATTGACGTCATCACTTCGTGTCACATGTTCTCAAAACATTAACACTGTACATCATTCACGAAGCATTTTTTTTCTGAAACGTTTTAGTTGGACGTTCATCTAATGTTATTTAAATGTTGCTAAAAAAAATATTGTAAAAAAAAAAAGTAAGTTACCTGGTTGCCTTAAAATTGAGTTCATTGAACTTAAAAATTTGAATTAAAGAGATATTTCACCAAAAATCAAAATGTTGTCATCATTTACTCAACCTATTTGAGTTTCTTTCTTTTGCTGAACACAATAGAAGATATTTAAAAGAATTACAGTCGACGGAACTCATTGACTTCCATAGTATTTTTCTTACTACGATGGAAGTCAATGGCTACGCCAACTCTTTGATTACCACTCTTTAAATTATCTTTTTTTGTGTTCATCATATTCATCAAACTCATGTGATGTATATAAAACATATAGGTAAATGGACTTGACATTTTATAATTCTGTATTTTCTGTAAGCAGAAAACAACTGGATTCCGATGTTCTCAGATTCAGTTCTCATTGATATGTTTTGCCGACCAAATCACGCTGTTTTTACTTCCTTTTCGGCCTTGGCTTTTCCGGTTCAGTATGTCTACCTTGGTTGTTTCGCCAATTGTGTAGTATAAATGCAGATATCGGATATGGGTCACTTTTAAAAGCCGGTTGGATATAATCCACAAATCGGAACTGGGCATCAAGACCTGCAGTGTAAATGCGGCCTGCGTCAGGCTCAAACCTTGGCAGCCATTCCTTTCCCTGGCGAGTACAAGCCTGAAAACAGAAGTGCATTTGTTAGCTGTGAAGCCCTTTTTTCCTTCCCAGCTCAAAGGAAAGGCAATTGATTGCTGAAGAGAAAGGACAGCAACACAATACAAGATGTCAAGCACGGAAAAACCCTGTCTAATATCTCACATCGCTATTAGGTTTTCTCTTTTTAAAAAATACTTTTATTAAGCAAGGATTTTTTAAATTGATCGAAACTGACAGTAAACGCTTACATGCACAAAATCTAATAAATGCTGTTTTTTGAACTTGGTATTCATCAAAGAATCATGAAAAATTGTATCACTGCTTCCACATAAAATTTTAAGCAGCACAGCTGTTTTCAATGTCGACAACAGTAAGAAATGTTTCTTGAGCAGGGAAGCAGCATATTAAAATGATTTCTGAAGGATCATGTGACACTGAAGACTGGAGTAATGAAGCTGAAAATTCAGCTTTTCCATAACAGAAGATTTTAATGACATTTCAGAATATGATAAAATAGAAGACAGTTACTTTAAATTGTAATAATAAAAAACAAAAAGGTTTTTTTTTTTATCAAATAAATGTAGCCTAGATAAGCATAAGATGGTTATAAAAAGAAAATCCTTTTGAACAGTATTTGGATTCACTGCTGTGATATATTGGCTGCATAGAATAAATATTTCTTTTGTCTTTTTTGCACTGGGAATGAATTACTCATAAACCCCGTGGCACTTCTGTTCCACTTCGATACAGATTAAGAAATATATTACCAGCTGACTGAGGCTGGTATGGACTGGGGTTATCATTAGACAATATGGTGTTACAAGAGCGAAAGGAGGAGACATGCACTCATTTCACTCTGCTGAAGGTTATTAGCTCACAGCCCCATTGTGCGTGTGTGTGTGTGTGTGACAGAGAGAGAGAGAGATTGAGAAAAGAAGCAATTCATTGTGCAAAATCCCTCATCAGGAGATTTTGAAGACTGTTTAATATTGCATAATGTAATGGCCTCATTTCACACAGCTGTGCAACATTTACATCGCAATGCAACATGCAATTTAGTCTGCCTCGGGTGATCCATGAATGTATGTTGTGTGTGTATTAGTGTTTAGCTTGCATGCATGGGTGGCAAATAGTGCTACATTTAAAAAGTACATAAATGAACAAAAAACAGAACCGCAAAAATAACAAGCATGTTATCCAAACAGGATTGAACCCCATTGACCCCAAAAAAACAGCCCGATCTCATCCCAAGGCGTCATATACTGACGTTTTTGCTAATTCGTAGACATCCAACACACATGGCACCCTTTGGGACACCCTAGAATGCGCCTCCTAGTGGTCTAACCCTAACCCTACACCAGACCTAAACCTACTCTGTGTGTGTTATGTTGACGCTAAAGGGTGCCATGTGCGTTGAATGTCTACACATTGGTTAAAGCGGCGTATATGACGCCTTGGGATGAGAATGTGTTGCAAAAAACACAAGCATTGTTCAAAATATTGGTGTGCTTCGTAGAAGAAAGTATCTCATAGAGGATTGGAATGACATGAGGGTGAGTAAATGATGACAGAGTTTTCATTTTTGGGTGATCTATCCCTTTTAAGATTTAGTTTTATCCCATGTGAGACCAGAACAGCAGATTTCCAAACCCACTGACCTCCTCTGGAACTTCAGAAATATCCTGATGAAAAATGTTTACTCATCACGTGTGTGTGTGTGTGTGTGTGAGCCTGTTGCATGCAAGAAAGTATATTTGGTCAGCCCTTGGGAACATTGCAGTTTCAACAACCGATCAATAATGAAATAAAGCAATAATGCTAGAGGCTTTAATTTACCAGATTTTTGTCATATCCAAATGTCTGGAAGCACATCATATGCAATTTGACGTTTATTATAGTCTGAGCACTACGATCCGATATGTGGAGGAAATGCAAATGATTCTCAACACATTGTTCTCCTGAACTAGCTGAAACTCCAAAACAGTGCTGTAAACTTTTTTGTAATCCCTTTGAAGCTGCACTGAAACCGTCTTTTGGACCTTGAACCGTTTGGTGCCCAATGAAGTCCATTATATGGAGAAAAATCCTGGAATGTTTTCATCAAAAACCTTCATTTCTTTTCCACTGAAGAAAGAAAGACGTGGACATCTTGGATGACATGGGGGTGAGTAAATTATCAGCAAAAGTTTTTTCTTTAAAGTGAACTTAAGAAAAGAAAATTATTTAATATTAATCAGTCAGCCATTATTAATTTATTCATATTTTTTTCACAAAAGTATTATTAATTTATGCGTAACACTTTTTGAATGGGTAAACCTGAAAGGCAAATAAAGTATTATGTACTGAGCTTGTAATTCAAATAAATGTGTTCAAATATATAATTTAAACAATCATAAACCTCTGACGCTCACTGACGCAGTTTTGCACGGCTTGACCAGACACAACTTTTTCTCAGTCCTCTGTGTTATCGATCATGTGTTTACAATGACGGTAAGAGCTCAGATTCAATCAATATTTGTCTCCGTGAACCTTTGCTGTTCAGGTAGCAATGACGTAAATGATTTCCAAACAGTCTGCTCTCTGGCAGATAAATGGTTCATAGGGACATTTTCACCTCACTGGATGATGATGGCAGTCCATGAGTCCTGCATGGTGTGTTATTTGCTCTTTGATTAGAAGTCTTGATTTTTTAACAATCGCTAAAGCTGAAATGTGTTTTTTTTTTTCTGTGATAGAAACGTCCCCAAGGAGAATTGCAAATATGGTGATTGTTTTCGAGTAGGTTTCCTAAATAGTCTCCCATTGGTGAGCTAAACTGATAGCCCCACCCACAAACTCACACCATTAATTGAGTCAATGTAGCCCCTGCTGGTAGATTTAGTAACTACACCATCTGGCTATAAGAAGCATCTTAATGCATTGACTGCCATTCAATGTATCAGTATAATCTGTGGGAAAAAAAATTCTTTTTGTAAAATAGTTTGAAATATTTCTAGCAAATTTGCATTAAATTAATTTCAAATCAAAAAACAAAACATTAATCTGGTATTATTTTTCTCCTTTGCTCCAGGTTTCTCATCTCAGTAAAGTGACCATATTTACTATGGTAGCGTATAGAGGCCCATTAACATGTCTATGTTTCTTGACTCCATTTCACTTCTGCAGTTATTTATGGTGTCAGTGTTTTCGGGGTCATAACATCTTTAACTGATGTAACCGAAGCCGGTCAAGGAAAGCCAATCCTTCTAAGTTCAGAAATGGACTGAGATCTTTTGATGATTTGTCAATTGATACTGAAGATTTTAAAGCTCGGAAATTGTCAATGTGGATATTTCATGAGAATTATTAGTATTAAACTTCTGCACATAAAGTATACCAATACCTCAAATTGTGCATCTGAGTTGCGCAATTGCACCTCTATTACTTTTCTAATTGGTTCGATTTTGCATCTAGCAAAAGACAAAATGCATGAATCCACAGCCACTTAAAAATTGTTGAAACATTTTCTATGTGCACCAATACCTCAAATGTTACGGTAATGAAAAGTTATTTCGATCGCCTTATGATCTGCCAACACTCACTTGGCAAAAAACAAAAATAGCATTAAATCTTTCTCATTAATCTTCAACCAAAGATGGAATACTCCAATCTAAGCATGTATACTATGCTCTGCTTGCCAATGGGTAGAAACAAGCCAAAATCAACACAGAATTTAGTAGTAAAGCATATTCCCTCAAGACAAACTATACTGATCGTACAGTATAATCAGGTCTTGAACCACCAACACAGAGACACAATTTAGAAATAAACTGAGCAATTGTGCCAACGAGCCTGAGGAGAATTACTCAGTGTTGTGTAACATTACACAATGGGCTCCCTTCAACGGTGCGAACCTTAAATAAAGCTCTTTCTAAGTTACTAAGCGTAGTGGAACAACACTCTTACGTCCAATGAGAGCTTTTCTCGTTTGTTTCACTTGAGAGCTTGTGGTTGCCAATTTTTTGCTGATCTCATAAAAGCCGCCGTAGCTGTATGTCACCATCATGGAGCGCTCCGCTGAAGCAGTGTGTGACGCATTCAGACTCCATGAATGCTGAGTCATTTCTGCTGGACTAATCGGAGGCCATTGCTGGATTTATTCCATGCTGTGAGCCAATGATCGATGATCAATGGTTCAAAGAACAGATGGGCAACATCTTGAACAGTTTTACAGGGCCATTGAACAGAGCAGAGACGGCTCTATGGGGTCAGTGGATGTTTAGAGCTTGGCCAGACCTACCCTTTGATTAAATGTTGCAATAGAATGTTATAAAATTACACTTTGTTGAAATGTTATATCTGCGAAAACTATTTTTATGAAATAAAAAGTACCGACTAAATTAGGAACAACCTTACCCAAAGATCAGAAGTCAAGTGTTTTATTGCTACAGTGCTTTTTAAACCACTGTACTGATGCGCAGCTTTCCAGTGTACATTGAATCCACTATGGCTGCATCTGAAATCGCATGCTCCGTTGAGTCGGTTCTTATTTTGAATAAGTTCTATATAGGTTTGTTTATTCAGCGTGGAGTTTGTAATCTTGACGTACTACATTTGTCATGCTGTCATTAACATGTGATCTGTACCAGCGTCAGTTGTGATTCTTCACTGTCATTCATAAATCCTCTTTCGTGGCATCATGGGACTGTAAAGAGTCCATCGTACGGTATGCACACTTCAGAATCTTCCCGGAAGAAGTAGGTCATCTAGGTATTGTTTTGCCTTCTCTTTTATGAGTACTGTGAATCAGGACATACTTCTTTTGTCACTCTTTTTTCCCCGCCTACAGCAGGGAAGTACTATAATTTATTAACGTAACCATAACCACTATTTTGTAGCAAATAATTTTACTGTTTACAGAACATTCTTATTTTTGTAGTTATTTCCATAGTGGCTAAGGTCTCATACATTCATGCATTCATTCATGCACTGCAAAAAAAAAAAAAAAAAAAAAAACATAAATAAAAAAAGGTTGATACTGA